ACTTTGATCTTTTTAATATGCTGAGCTTACTTTAAGCTTGGGATACTCTTCTTCATATTTTTTGTGTCATATAATTTTTATATTTTATATATTTTATTAGGCCCACGGGCCGGTCCAACCAAGTCTCAGTCAAGCCTCACGGGCCACGGGCTTACTCGGGCCGGGCTTAAAAGCCTCATTTCTAAATGAGCTCCAAAAATTCTAGCCCAGCCCTCCTAAATGACGGGTTGGGTTGGGTTGGCCCAACGAGCCAAGCCCATATTGACGGCTCTAGAAAAAATATTGCTTTCCAATGTAACATCAAATACTGTGCATCGTGCTAATTTTGCTAATGCAATTAATATTGTTCTTCTAAAGTCACTAAGTATAGTATATACAGTTTTAAGAATTAAAATTGTCTCAAAAAAAGATAAATGACAACTGAATACATTCTACAATACAATGAATACTTATTGCTGAATATATACTGTTGTACAAAATAATGAAACAAAGTGAAGCTTTGAAATTATATAATTACATTGAATACGGTTAAATACAGTGAATATATTGAAAAAGTAGAAAAAACTAAAGACAGTGAATATAATGAAATACATGGAATACAGCGAGATACATTAAAATACAATGTAAAAAAGGCAACAGACTCTTCCAGCTCCTCAGCCCCAAACTGTCACGACCCCAATCCCGATCGTGATGGCGCCCAACACTGATGCTAGGCGAGCCCGACCAATTAAATACTCTCAACCCAAGTACGTAATCCGTTAACAAATAATACGATTAAGATAGCAAATGTCAAGGTTCCAATCCGAATCTAAATAAAATAGTACGAAAAATAATAACGAATATTCCAAACATTCCCCAATAGATCTGGAGTCACGAGTCTAGAGCCTCTAGATGTAATAGAGTAATATATATCCATAGTGATAAAGAAGTCTAGAATATGAAAGAAATAAATGAAATAAAGGGGAGGAGTCGGGTCCTGCGGACGTCAGGCAGCTACCTCGACAACTCCTGACGATAAAATCCAAGAAGACAGCAAACAGCTCCACTAAGTCCCTGGAGCACCTGAATCTGCACACATGGTGCAGGGAGTAAAGTGAGTAATTCCAACTCAGTGAGTAATAAACATATATAATGGCTGAAAGTAAGAAATTCCGAAATATTACAATATAAAGCTTTAATCAGCGGTTCAGCACATAAAACGGTGGAACAACAACAATACCAGGATAAGTAAGACAAAAAGGTATAAATGCATGAATGCAATGCAATGCACATGACCGCTGCGGCGCGCAGCCCGATCCATTTGGGTACCCGCGCTCACTGTGGGGGTTCAGACTCCGGAGGGGCTCCTACAGCCCAAGCGCAATATCATCGTAGCATTCGCTGCGGCGTGCAGCCCGATCCACACTCAGTCCAGATATATATATGCATGCAAGCCACTCGGGCACAGTCAAATTGTTCATTTTTAGTTCCAATTATTAGGAATTATAGAGCTAAGTGCTTAAACCTTTATTTATTTACTAAATATTTCGAGGCAGTGTCTAACTCAGGACTGATATCATGAAATATGCTAAGCATCATGGAAGCAGTGATAAGGATCCCTGAAGGATGCACATGATAGGCACAAAGCCCCAAACATATTCATAAAATCCAAGTAGGATGATTACCAAACAATTTCTAGTCAAGAACACAGTACGAACATCAATCGGAACGGACTAGGTCACAATCCCCAGTCACAATCGACCCCGCACTCGTCATAGAGTATGTGTCTCACCTCAATATAGCGTCACAATGTGATATACTGGGGTTTCAAACCCTCAGGTCATCATCTACATCTATTACTCGCCTCAAGCCGGCCACAAGTCTAGCTCGATATGACTTTGCCTTTCGAATCAACCTCTCCGCACGCCGAATCTGATTAAAACCACAACGAATACATTACAATAGGCAAAAGAAACATAACCCAATCGAAAAGACTCGAAAAACACCAAAATTCACTAAGTTGGCAAAACCCGAGCCCCGGGCCCACTTCTCGAAAAATTACGAAATTTACATCACTGGATTCCTCGTCTCGCCACAAGTCTACACATACCAATTTTACCAAAATCGGAGTTCAAATGCCCTTTCAAAATCCGTTTTTACACCGCAACTTTCCAAGCCCTAGCTTGACTCGTTTTTGATGAATTTTCCACAATTTACATGTAATTTCTATCATAAACTCGAATAATTAGGCCAAGAGACTTACCTCCAATTGATTCTCAGTCAAAACCCTCGAAAATTCTCGCCCAAAGCTCTCCAAGTTGCTTAAAATGGTAGAAACCAACTCTTGTTCGCGGATGAAATTTAATATTTTAAACCCTTCTGTAACAGTTGTTTTTCGCTTCTGCGGTCCCGCTTCCGCTTATGCGGGACCGCTTCTGCGGTCAGAAGTCCGCTTAGGCGGTTTTCATTAAAGTTACAATTCTGCTTTTGCGTCCCAAAATCCGCTTCTGCGGATCACCCAGTACCGCTTCTGCGGTTGACAATCCGCTCCTGCGGACTCGCTTTTGCGGACTATATTCCGTTTTTGCGGAATCTCCTCACCAGGCCACGAACCGCTTCTGCGCTCCTTCACCCGCTTCTGCGGAACCGCTTCTGCGGTCCATTTCCGCAGAAGCGGAAATACCAGATGACAACAACAACAGACCTGAAGCAAACTTCAAAACTCTCGTTTAAACACCCGAACTCAAAGGCCCCCGGGACCTCAACCAAAAGCACAGACATGTTCTATTACCTTATTCAAACTTGCTCGAACCCTCAAAACACTATCGTTAACACCAAAATCCTTAAATTTCATCAAATCAAAGCCTATGTTTCTTAAAAACCTCCGAATTGCACATTCGATCAAAAACCCGACCTAAACACCTCCGAATGACCTGAAACTTTGCACACATATCAAAAATCACCTAACGGAGCTACTGCAACTCTCGGAATTCCATTCCGATCCTCGGATCAAAATCTCACCTATCCACCGGAATTCGTCAAAGTGCCATCTTTGCCAATTCAAGCCTAATTGTACTCCGGACCTCCAAAATCACTTCCGATCACACTCCTAAGTTACAAATCACCTCCCGAAGCTAACCGAATCACCGGAATTCACATCCAAGCCTTCTAACTAATAAGTCAACGTTCGGTTGACTTTTCCAAACCAAACCTTCCTTAAAGAGACTAAGTGTCTCATTTCCTATCCAAACCAATTAAATTCAACTCTAACTCACCCGTTGCTGATAATAAAACATGAAAGAGCAATAAATGGGGAAAACGGGGCTGTAATACATGAGACGACGGGTTGGGTCGTCACACAAACGCTGTCCCCAATCCACCGATATCCAGGCCGCCGCCATGTGGGGCGTCGCTGCCGGTTAAATGAAGACAGTTGTTGAAGAAGCACCAATTTAAAGGATCAAACGAAAACTAGAGACAGAAATTCTTCAGATCTCACAAGGCAAACATGAACAATCAATGCAAAATCTAAGAAAGTGGTCGCCGGCCGGATCTGTCGTTGGCGGAACACAACCCCTGCTAGGATTTCTAAAAGCAGAGGAGGAAAAAACCGGGGGAAAAAGAGAAGAAATGAGAAAGAGGAAGGAGGAGAGAGGGAAGACAGAGTGAGAGAGAAAAATAATACACAGCGTATTTAATGGCTTAAAAGTAGGAAGTGACCATAAATAGATATTTTGCAATAAAAATTAAAAGGTAGCTAGCTATATGAGATACTTTTTTAAAAGGGTATTTATTTATAATAAATAAGGTATCAACCTTTGGTATAAAAGGTAAAATTCCCTATAATTTTTATATTTTATTAGGCCCACGGGCCAGCCTAGCCCAGACTCAGTCAAGCCTCACGGGCCACGAGCTTACTCGGGCCGGGCTTAAAAGCCTCATTTTTAATGAGCTCCAAAAATTCTAGCCCAGCCCTGCTAAATTACGGGTTGGGCTGGCCCAACGAGCCAAGCCCATATTGACGGCTCTAGAAAAAAATGTTGCGTTCCAATATAACATCAAATACTGTGCAGCGTGCTATTTTTGCGGGAGAAATTTAAAAATAGCCAGATTTACAACTGGTCATTCAAAAATAGCCCAGTTTGAAAAGTAATCGAAATTTAGCCACTTTTCACGTAAAGAAAAATCTGTTCAAAAACACTGTTCAAAACCCGAAAAAATACGCCAGTATATTATGCTGGAGTTCCAGCATAAGTATACTTGAACTCCAGCATATTATACTGGAGTTCCAAGATAAGTATGCTGGAACTCCAGCATAATATGATGGAGTTCCAGCATAAGTACACTAGAACTCCAGCATAATATGATGGAGTTCCAGCATAAGTACACTAGAACTCCAGCATAATATACTGGAGTTCCAGCAAGTATACCGGTCCAGCATAATATACTGGAGTTTGGAGCACCGGTGCTCCAGTCTCCAGTATATTATACAGGAGCCAGCAAAGTATACCGGTCCAGCATAATATGCTGGAGTTCATACACAAGTGCACCGAACTCCAGTATATTATGCTGGACCGGTCTCTGCCGCAGCAAAATAGTGGCTATTTTTCATTGACTTGGCAAACGCTGACTATTTTTGAATGATCAGTCCGAAAACTGGATATACCGTGCTATTTTGACTATTTTTGCTAATGCAATTAATATTGTTCTTCTAAGGTCACTTAGTATAGTATATACAGTTTTAAGAATTAAAATTGTCTCAAAATTTTATATATATAACTTACTTTGGTTTTCCACAAAAAATTTCAGTACTTATTTCTTTGATTTCTCTACAGTAGTAAATGATAAGAACTACACGCAATTATTTTAGAAAGAAAGTACAAAATTGACGAGGACAATTAATATTTTATTATTAGTGCTATAATTAATGGAGTCATGTTTAGCTTTTTGAAGAAAGGAAATTGATTATCTAAAAGGGCATAAAAATTGACTGATGAGAAAGAAACAACATGAGGCTTTGGTGCAAATATAAATAGCAACAAAACTTGCTGATTATGTCACAGAATATTGAGAACAAACCACCATGCCTAAATTAGATAGAAAGTCCCTTAAGTCCTATCTATTTCATCAAACATCCTCTCTGAGTTTTTATTACTAAGTAGCACGTCTACTATTCAATCATAGAATTGATTCCGATCCAGCTGAAAAAAGTCGTCAGCCCTATATATGTTATTACTATCGAGACAGTGCACAGATCGTTACACTTGTCGTTCGAAAATGACGGCTGAACAAATGGGAAACTGGGGAGTTATAGAAGAAGAATGGAGAAAAGGCCCTTGGACTGCTGAAGAAGATAGATTGCTCATTGAATATGTAAATTTACATGGTGAAGGTAGATGGAATTCTGTTGCTAGACTTGCAGGTAATAATAAGTTCTATTTTAATTCGTTTTTCACTCACTTGCCAAATCTTTCTATTATTTTCTTTTCCTTCGTTGTGGCCAATATGAATTCACCTGGTACTAGCAGCTTTATCGAAAATTTTTTTTTTTTTAGTCAGAGCTTTCTGAAGAAACACCTATTTAGCCATATTAATTAGTAATGTTTCGGTCTTTCCGGATCATTTCAGGGGCAGGCTATTCCCTTTGGCTATATAATCGTGCAATTTCTTGGAATTTAAAACTCGATTTCTTTACTCAATTAATTACTTAACATATGAAAACTACTTCCCTTGCTATTGTAGATATAACTATTTTTTTTTATAGGATTGAAAAGAAATGGAAAAAGTTGTAGGTTGAGATGGGTGAATTACTTGAGGCCAGACCTTAAGAGAGGGCAGATAACACCATATGAAGAGAAGATTATTCTTGAACTTCATGCTATATGGGGTAACAGGTAACTGTTTGAAGTAATTTTGGATATTTTTTAAAGTAATTCTTTATTATTGTTAAATACGATTATGCATATTAATAATCTCATAAGATAAAATAGGGATCTTTACACAAATAGCCGACCAAATTTACTGTTTATTTTTATGGGTATACATAAATTATACACTTATTGTACTCGGTTATACACATTATACATATATTACACAAATATATTATACATTTGTTTTAAGTGGTTATTTAGATTAATTCATCTAAAATATATGCAGATGGTCGACTATTGCTAGAGGCTTGCCAGGGAGAACTGATAATGAGATCAAGAACTATTGGAGGACTCATTTCAAGAAATCAAGCACTGATAAGTCTCAAAAGACTAAAGCTCGTCTTTTAAAAAGACAATTGTTTCAACAGCAACAACAACAACTAAACAACCAGAACGACATAAAAAGGCTTGTATTGTTGTTTGAGGAAAATGAGAATAATAATGAAGTTCCAAATTTGTCTCAAGAGAAGCAAGAAATGGCATTTTTGTACCAAAACACAGCTGAGCAAGAGCAAGGTGGTGGCTTCTTCTACTCCACTGAGGCCTCATCAAAATATGAAGACATCATGTGGGATTATGGCTTATGGAATTTGGATGATTTTAATGCCAATTTAAACATTGGAGCTTATAACAATAGTTTACCTTGTATGCAAACTTTGGCTACTCCTTTCCATTGAATCCTATAATCACTTAGAATAAATTCCTCTCTTTTAGCCTCTTTTCTCCGTGCTTCTTTACTTTTTTTGGTTTAACCATCTGATATTCGAAATTCACTAGCTCGATTAATTTGAATTCACGTCATGTTGGGCTCACTAAAGGAGAAATGCTTTTTAATAAGATTTTCTTCATTCACAAAGCTCGAATCGAGACTTGGAGTAAAAGAGTCTCATCTATCCTATTACACCCGGTGCATTATACTGGTTCAGCTGATTTGATGAACAAGTAATGAAAAAGGAAATTGTTTCGTAATTGCCAACAAAATCGCTTAGTAAATACTCTCTTTTGTGCTGGTTTTTTTTTTTTTTTTGGGTGCTATGTTTAAATTTAAAGATGACTACCATATTCGCTATCTGTTGGGATATATACTGTCAACTATGCGTTTAAAAATGTTATATAAGATAGAACAATAGTGTAATTAAGTTATGATTACATGGTTATAATTTATAAGTGTAAAGTGAGAGATTGTTGAGACATATATTATTCACTATGCATTTAAATATAGTTGTTTATTATGTATAAAATAATTGAATATCTAATTTTAATAAAGGTTCATATAGATCATCGATTTGTTTGTGGGCCTCTTTACTTATATAGTAGATGATTTAGTATATAAAGTTTAACTTATATATAGAAGATTAAACATCGGTTCTTGTAAGTTAGAGTTTGAGTTCACAATCTAAAATAGTATTGGACACGTCATCGGTATGATAGTAGCACAAGATTAAATGTAATTTTTCTTGATTATACAAATAGTATAATTCTAACTTCTTGTGCTAGTACATTTTGTCTGTTTTGAATAAGACAAATGGAGATAAGTATTTTTATACTGGCTATATAAAACAACTTTTTTAGTCCATTAGTTATTGTTTTAATTTATTAAGATGTGAAATTGTTTTGTGGATATATCACTACTAGAAATTCGGCCAAAACCGATCGCAGTCGACCGACGACTTTGGCCGGTCAAAAAACCAGCCCAAAATCAGATCGAAGTCAGTCAATTTTTCAAAATATTTTTTTTTACGAAACCGACCAACTTTGGTGTCACGACGCAAACCGAAGGGCCGCGACGGGCACCCGGTACCTTACTCAACCGAGTACCAATGTAACGTATCTTTTCATGTCATACTATCATAGATAACTGAGCCGGAAGGCTGCCGTGAGATAAGTAGAATACAACATGTGACACCAACTTATACATAAGACATACGGGCCTATAAGACCAAAATAACCACTCGTATCTGAACATAGGCCGACAAGGCCATACAATCTTTTACGTACATAACATCTGTCCACAAGCCTCTAAGAATACATAATTTTAATAAAGGTCGGGAAAGAGTCCCGCCATACCAAACAATACACGTCTAAGCCATACTAACCAAACGAGCAACTCCGAAGCAAATGGAGCGCACCAACATCTTCCGCTGAGCTGATAGCCTACTTGGAGAGCTCTCGACCAGTCTATCGGGACCTTCGGGCATGAAACGCAGCGTCCCCAGGCAAAAGGGATGTCAGTACGAATAATGTACCGACTATGTAAGGCACATAAATAAATACATAAGAGACATTGAAGGAATATAGAGTACATGAATCAACCTGTAAGTCTGAATAACTTTGTAAATCATAAATTACTTTTAGCGTCGTGCATATGCGTATGAATGTCATATCGTGCATAGGTACATGTTTCATAACATCATCAGCCTCTGAGGGCATCCCATCATATCATATCGGCAACTGTGGGCAAAATCATCATCGTATACCAGCTGATCAGGTGGTGGTGCGTATATAACGCCATAATCTTTCCCATATATATATATATACTCGTATATAACGCTGTTTGAATCATATTTCAGCCACTGTGGGCAACATCATCATCATATACCAGCTAATCAGGTGGTGGTGCGTATATAACGCCGTAACCGTTTCTCATATCCCATATACTTATATTTACATATATACGCGTATATAACGTCATCTGGTCATGGGTCAATGCACATGTATAAATGAGTGAAATGCATGAAAAATACATAATAATCTCGATATTTCTTCCAGATAAACTTTTTCAACTGCGTATTATATTGAGACCCATGAACAGAAGATAATAATAATTCTCATGGGGAATCAAGAATATAGACACCCCAACTATTTCTATGAATAGAATAATTTATAGAAGCAGTGTATTTGCTCGTTTCTTCAGTATAATTTGGACTGTGCCAACAGAAAGAAGGGATAGCCTTAACATACCTGGAGTAGGAAAAACTCCGTATAATATTTCGTTGGAAAACCTTCGTTGATTGAACGAAATCTGCCTCTGCTACTTAAAGATTCACGGACGAAATTTGCTTCTGCTTCTTAACATTTTGGAACGAAATCAGTGTTCCCTTGAAATATTTGAGAGGGAACGTTTCTGTTCTTTGCAATTTGGAAAGAAATCTTAAAACCAACGTTCCTTTTGGTTGGATACTTTAAAAAGGAACATATCTCTGATTTCTCTTTAGGATTTGAAAGAATCCTTTGGATTCATTTTGAAATTTCAAGGAAACGTTTTCTGTTCCTTAAGAGTCTTGAAGGACTAGCTCTTTTTGGAGTCACTTCTTTTGATTCATAAGAATTTTTTTGGCAGAAAACCTTAATACTCAATCTTGTTTATGCCTAGGTGGCATAATAAGTGACTACTTAGTCACTCTTATTTTGGTGGCTTCTTTGCCACGTATGTTTGGGGATAATTATTAAGTTTTTATCCGCTTATTAGTTAACTGGGTAATGTCCTGTTACCCGGTAATTAATCAATTACCCGCAAAATTGAGAATTATTCCCACTTACTTGAAATATTACTCACTTTTTACATACCTTGTACACCTTACGATCATGTAGTACCTTGTATGGCACTAGTCCATAAATACCGGGTATTTTAGCTCGGGCCGTATTTTACCTCAACATGCCAAACTTTGACAAAATTCGTTTTCTTCGATATTACTTACCCTCTTACCTTCACGAATTTACTCATCACTTATACTCCTTATAATCCCCAAATAATCTTTTCCTTGGACTGATGTCAATTACCTTACAATAAATTCAACGTACATTACTGCAGGGTGCAACATCGTCGTAACTTATTACTGCGAAGGGTAACATCACCGTAATGTAATACTGTAAGGCATAACATCGATGTAATACTGCAGGGCGTAACATTATTCCCCCCTTTGGAACATTCGTCCTCGAATGTTGACTGATGCACTTATCATTTTTATAACTTATATCTTCCAAATACTTTATAACTTCCCTTGCCATCTAGGCGACTGTCCTGTGAATAAGTCCAAAGTCCAGGGCATTCCCCCTTAGGCCTCCTTCTCACACCACAACTTGTAGTCAGAATCCTTCCAATCTCGTAACTGTTACTACCTTTCATCATGCAGCCTGTACAATTTTGACCTTGTAAGTGTACCCAATCTCTAGGATTCATATGTAGAGCTTGATAAGATGTCCCTTTGGGCATATATGAGTATACTGAAGTTCTTCGCTCGGTACTTGGTTGAATTCACGAATACTGTTATATCTCATCGCATAGGTCCGTTTAACCATCCGTATAAATTTACTGCCATAACTCTTACTTTAATTTATCGTTACCGAGGTCTACTACCAATCTCCAGGTTACTCTCGTTGCTTATCCTATATGCATAAATCTAAGTCTTTTAATGCTTCTTCATTACTGTTCATCTTAAGAATGATGGCCTGATCTCATCTCATACTTTGTAACTTTTATCCATCCATTGTTGATTCACCTTAATGCTGATAACTTGACCTCTTATGTAACACTACCGCTAGGGCACGCGTCTTGTCGGGGAACATCTGAAATGATTAGACTGATCCACCTGGGGGCGATACCATGCTTCCATGACCATATTTTATAGCATCCTAAAGTGATACATCCTTTGGGGGTTATTCTAATCCCGTACAACTCATGAAATCCCCTTTCTTTTCTTCAAATCGTAACTCAATTGAAGTCCAAACGTCATCCTTTATCTAAAATAATTACACCATTATTCTACTACCAGGGCATCATTCCATCTTTCTAAAAGCCATTAGTCTTCGACTCCTTTGAGTTCATTCAGGCTATACTGAGCTTTGTATAACTTAGAGAAACCATCAGATCTTCTTGTCTTCATAGGCTTAATCCTGAGGACATCCATTTCGTCACCCTCTCACTCGCCCTTTCTTATCCTTACTCCTGTCTTCCTAAAGCCTTATCGCTTTACAATCATTTAGCTTGCGATCTACACATATCTATTTATATTACTCGCCACCTTCCTTTAACTTGCTTGCACCATATATTTTCGTATATTTTCTGGAACATCATGCGAGACATCACATCGTCTCTAACTCTTCTTTGCTCTCTTGACTAGATCTCTCAATACCTAAAAACCATAGGGTGGAAGATATGCCACTGACGAAGCCGCTATCATTCCTGGATACTGAATTCTCGCGCTTCTAGCCTTTTATCCGAAGTATGGACTATCCACAACCTTGTGCATTTGAGAAACTCGTACGTTGTTCACCTTTACCTTACTTACCTTAAAATCTTGTATCACATCTTCTACCTCTTTCATGACCTCCCTTCCACCTAGGTATAATTCACATCCACAACTTGAAGCTCTATTATAATACTTGCACCTCTGGTGCATACACAATTCGATGGGAGCTTCATACTGACTTCTTATGAGGCTGTTACTTTTATAACTGGCTTTATGATAGAGCCATTATAGAATGTGGTTGTTCTACTATCTCTCTTGTACTTTCGATATTAAGGGTAATCCTGCAATGTTCTTGATCACGATTTTTTTAATAATTTTCTAGGTTCAATAATCAAACTCCTGATTCACTTAGTCGATGTAACTCTTTAGTTTCCTCTTCCTTCTGATCAACCTTTATGTAGGCTTAAGCTATCTTTCGATTTGCGGCTGATGTATTAGTTATTACTTTAGCCTTTC